GAGTGAAAGATATGATCGATAATCGAGATTGACATAATTCCATATCTTGTAATTGATCGGATGATATTGACGAAGGGATTATAGTTTCACGGTAAACGAACGAATTTGGTTTTGTCATACCACGTGACATTTTCCGTCACATGTATTGCCCTGACACATTGCTAGATGTCAATCAGGGACGGCGATGTGAATTGACGATAAATTAAAAGGGTGTTTTAATTTATCGATTTTGATTAGATCAAAATAATATTTCACGTCGTTAGGCATCGTGGTCGGGAACCTAATGGGTCACACACAAAAAAGAATTGGAAGATTGCAAATTGCCAATTGGTTAATTTAACAATCGTTGGATAAATTAATTAATTGGATTTGTTATTTATATTTTCGAATTAATTAATTGGATTCATTAATTCACGGACCGGGTTTAATTAATTGGATTAATTAATTATTGGACCGGACCGGGCCGAGCTTGTTTGGGTTTATATAAATACATAACTAGGGTTTGAGGTCCATAAGGTTTTCATTATTCTCGCTGGCACAAGAGAAAACCCTAGAAGCTGCGATCTTATTCTCTGTGTGGATCACCGTTGGAGGCTGGATAATTGGACAGCTGTGGTGGCGAATCAAGGTTGATGAAACGAAAAGAAAAGCAAAAGGATTGCAGATCTGGAAAAGGTACAATCTTATCACAATTTCTATCTAAACACAAAGGCGATTCTTGGTGGGAATCGAAAATTATTTTAAATTCCGCTGTGCATGTATAAGTAGATTCCCAACATGGACAGCAGTAGGTTTAGGGGTGGCAATGTGCTCGGCTCGGCCCTAAAACACGTAAGCTCGACACATGTCTGAAAATCCTTAGCCCTTTGCCTTGTGGACCTCATGGGCTCAGCAAAGCTGTCCATGAGACATCTCTCTCTCTCTCTCTCTCTCTCTCTCTCTCTCTCTCTCTTTTCTTTAAATATATATATTGAAACCTTCCTTCTTTTTTGAGGAATGGGACAGGCTAACTTAACATATGCAGAAGAAATTGTATACGAAAAAGATATTATGCCCTCGTTTGGTTCCCATTCTTTTCAAGTTTTAATGGTTGGAATAGTTATATTTTGAAAAATGTGTGGTTGAAAAAAAATGAAAAGTTTTTTATTTGCATGTAATATTATTTTATAAAAAATTATATGGTTGAAAAGAAAAGAGAGAGAGAGAATGAGAAGAAGAATGGGGACCAAATTGGGGCTATGTATCCAATTTCTTTAAAAAGTCAAAAGAAAAATTATGAGTAAACGAAAAATACTTACAATTTATGAAGTCAAATCTTGAAAATCTTAACTATTAATCAGTTGTATCCGATTTCGAATTAATATATGTAAGTAAGAGGTAGAATAATATGATTTATACCAGAATTTTACAGTAATAACTCAAATAAGCAAATTCAGAGAGAATTAAACTTTAGACGGCACAAGAAAAGAGCTTAGGGAGCTTATAATAATTGTAAATCGAGAAGGTAGATTTGTGTGAAACAAATTAAGTGGGGGTTTACAGGAAAAAGGGATCGTTAAAAAAATTAAATATATGACCATTGGGCCAAGTGCTCATGTGATTGTTTGGCCACCAAAATGGTCAAATATATTGGCCAATGAGCCACAAGCTGCCTTGTGGACCTTGCCCACGAGCTCAAGACGAGCATACTCATGAAAAAATTCTAGCTCGGCTCGGCCATGGCTCATCCTAACATAAGCTCGAGCAGAAAATGGGCCGAGCTGAGCTGTGCATTTTCTTCTGGTGAATGTTGTTTTGGTTAAATGAAAACTAGTTGAATCTGAAGAAGATTGACACTCTATACAAGATTAACTAAAAACATTACAAATACCAATAGACAGTTTAACAACAGGACCCCATTTAATGAATGCTGAGGCAATCTCTGGTCAAAATGGTGTCCATCGCTGGCAATTAAATGTAATCTTGAAATATTATGAAATACACGTTCTCAAATTTCTTGCAAATTGAGTTAATTCCACTAATTTTTCAATTACAGAACTTCTGTCTGAGAATAAACACGTGTAGTACTTGTACATTCTGTACACTGACACAGTTGATCAACCTATTCTTTTGGGATGAAAACATGGAAAATCTATTTTGTTTTTATATTCTTTATCTCTGCTTATAGAAAACATGATAGAAGAGAAGGTACTAAAAAGAAATTTAAAAAAAAAACTAAGATTTACGATTTATATTATATTCGATATATATCTCTAGTTTTTTTCAGATAATTGATACCATTATCATCAGGAAAGAAGCAGTTACAGATGGTATTTCTGGAGAAGATGAACCCAACATAAATGAACTTTCATCTACGGAAATGTAAAGACTATGTGATGAAGGTCAATCAAGCAGAGGCTGAGTTCTGGAGAAAGTTGGAGGGATACAGAGTAGGCTGGAATGATGAAATTTTGGGCTTTGATTGTGGTGGCCAACAATGGGTTTCAGAAATTTGTTTTCCAGTTGGAACCCTATCTAAACCAAGCATGAAAGACCTGGAGTATATTGAAGAATTGATGCAACTAATTGAGAAAGAAAATATACCTGTTCCTGCACCTATTGAACTGAGATGGACAGCATGCCGGAAAAGCCTCATAAGCCCGGCTTATAGCTTGTGCGAAGAGGACATATTCTCGGGTGTAATCTGATCATATCTAATGCTATTCACTGACTTTTTGAAACTGATTTATTTTGTTTTAAACTTTGGTAGTTGATATATGATGACTCGTTTAGATACAAGTAAAATAAGCACTTTGATTGGAACCTACCTGACACCATCCTTCAAATATCAATCATCTATGCCAATTTATTTTCCAACATACTTCCCTACCATGGAAGGAAAGAAATATGGTCATTGGCTGATTTAAAACTATCAAATCGTAGGCACATGTGCTGCTTCGTTCTATCTGGAACTTTTATGTAGTCTGTTTTCCAATATATGGTGAGCATGATGTGCATCCTTTCATGTGGCGAAATGTAATGATATTAACCATTCTCTAGTTCTTTCTGTTGTAGATATAGTTTGTTTTCTGTATCTTATGCTTATTTGTTGTATTTTTAATTGCATATCATAATAACTATTGAGTCTTAATCTTTGAATTGCATTTACCAGATCGGTATAATTATGTATCTTCCTACAATGGATACTAGCCAGAGGAAAGAAATTACAGAAGATTTCTTTCACTAAGGCGTATGACGCAAAGAAATTTATGGGATAAATATTCAGGTTATGAACCCTGGGCTAAAATTGAGGTATGAATTGCATTTTAGTATGAAGCTGCTCAAATTTAGGTCTCTAGAGAAATTTAATCTGTAACAATGAGTATAGGATTCTTGAATGCTTTGATATTTATTGATAATAAATATTTTTAAAGCATTTATCCTGACATTTTTTTATCTATGGGTATTTGTACATGATCTTCAATGCTTATCGGACAATAGCTAGCATATATTCAATTATAGACACGGAAATGAACGTGGAAAGCCTTTCCAATTGTGGTTTAGTTATTTATCTTTGCTACTGCTTGAAGATGAATTTGGAATGGAATATTGCATAAACTCATGTTGACGTGCTTGAAGGTTCCAAAGGATAAAGATGAACTTGCAGCTCTTTAGGCAAGACTAAGGGAGATTATAATAAATCGGATCAGATTGTTATCGGATCATATCGACATATGTCCATATTTGCTCCATTTAGTTAACGGATTATCGAATTCGGATCTTAATCGGATTATCGGATTGAAACCTTAAATTCATTTCCCATTAATTTCATCGAATTTGGATCAAAATCCAATCTATTGACAGCCCTAGCTGTGATTCCTCGTGTCTATCTCTTTATCCCAGATTTTGGTGGTTATACGACCAGTGCACTTGCTGGCACAGATTGGTCTAGCGGTCAGATTCCCGCTGTGATACCATGTTAGATTGAAGAATATGCGCTCTATAATTTTTCTCTCATAATTTCATTATACAGAGATTGAGGGATACATGTAGTTGTCGGGGCGGATCTATATTTGGCTACTTTTACTAATTATGCTAAAAGCTATAATGACAAGACTAATTTAAATATTACAAGCACAATTAACTCTAATTTCACAGCTCATGCTAACACTTCATTGGACTAAAGATACTGGATTATTCTCCTCGAATATTTGATGATATGGTCCATGTTACTTTTCCTAACAATTTTTCATTGTTGTGTACTTATAAATTGGCGGTGAAAAGAAATATGAGTTTACTACGTTCGCAGGCATTCCTTATTTCGAGTTGCTCAAGCAATAACGACTAACTCGAAATGTGGATTTACTCCAAGCAACTGCAATTTCATGGTTGTCGTCTCCACCTTTAGATGTCGAGGTATATCTTATTTCTATACGTGTCCTGTTTTGATATCAGAGAAAATTTTCATGAACCTATATACAAATAAAACAAAACTGAGATTCTATTTGCAGATTGAATAAAATTTTCATATATCACAAACATTTTGTTGGTACGGATTCAACTTTCAAGAACACCGCCCCGACTACAAATTTTGGATCAAAGATACTCTTGTCTCATTAAACAGTTCAGAATGATAGATTATAAGAGCTATCACTCGATTCATAATCAACGTATTCAGAACCTTAAATTCCACTTCCACACATATATGACAGAACCATTCAAGCATGACATTAACAGATAAAATCCTTGATAAGAAAATAGTCGCTGTTTCCGTCGCTAAAGCCCTTGTTTGAGCCTCATTTTTGCCAAGAAAATGCATTTTTGAATAGTGTAATGATGTGTGGCTAAAAATAAGGAAAAATTTTAGATTTTCATGTCATATTATTTTATTGAAGAATGTGTGGTTAAAATGATGTCAAAATATTGTTTAAGAATGTATTTTTTTTTAAAAAATGGGGCTCAAACAAGGGCTATATCTCCTCTAATATCTCCCCTCCATATAACACTTCCACTCGACTTTTTAATTGTATATGCTATTGTAGATTGACATAAAACCCACAAGCACGGTATCTCAAATTAATGTTATAAGATATACAAATCAGAAAATTTAAGGGAATAGGCATTACAAAGGAATCGTAAACACAAAAAATACTCTTGTAAGATTCTAAACAATTTAAAAGCCTAAGTGCCTCATAAAGCAAGAAACTAATAATATGATGTGAATCCATACAGTATCCCATGGTCATATATTGCCAAGGACACGGTGCTTTTGATAAAAAGAGAGTTCCTATAGGTTTCCAAGTTCACTCCACTGTTCCTCTTCAAACATTTTTTCAAACATGAATATCTCTTTCAATATAAAACCTTCTTTCACTCCAAAGATCAAAAACACGTCCTAATCTCCGGAAATATGAGGTTGATTGCCCATTTCACAAGAAACGCTTGGTTACCACCACCATCACCACAGACAAAATCCATTTGGAAGAATGGATTAAAAGAGAAGATGGAGGTAGTAAGGACATTGGGTTCGATGTCAATACACGGCACATTGTGGTTGAAGATGAAAAGACAAAATTTCTTACCACATTGGTTGTTGCAAGCAGATTTGATACCTTGATGTATCAAAGAACGAGCGACCATCATGCAAATAACCGACGCTTCGTAGATTTACCACTGAAACTTCTGAACTATCTAAGCGGAACACTCTTGTATGTGACAATATGAAAGAGAAAAATGCATCTCTTGCATCTTCCTTTCGAGAAAAGACCGGGAATTATTTCAGATCCTAAATCTCGAGAAAGAATTTCACCGTCAATTTGACATTGACAAAATGGTCTAGAGGCAGCTGGGAACAAGAAAAACGATCTGAGACTTGAACAATCAGGATTTATGGCAGCTGGTGGACAAAGAAATGGGGGAATTTCTCACAATTGTTGGCCAACTAGAGTTCTATTTGGGAAAAACACCGACTAGTATTTTGACTGTGATTTTGTTGAAACTGTTGAAGGATAGTTTCTTTTTTACTCGGATTTGATTGAAACAGTGAAGGATAGATTGAAACTGTAGTATTTTGACTAGGAGAGGATAGTCAAACCATAAGCTTCAATTTGAACACAAAATTCCCTGATGATAAACAAAATAAAAAATAGAATGATTTTTTAAATACCCTCATTATTTCAGCGGAGGAAGAGGCTTTGATTTTTCAACATCTCAATCCTCATCATAGAAACAATTGTGAGTTCAAAACTATATCGTTAAAGTTTGTGAACTTTCTAAAGAGGAGGATTTTTGTTGGCCATAACATCGACGATAAGAAATCCTACATTGCGGCTGCGTTCAGGGAGGCAGACTGGAAATTGCTTGATATTAGAGATCTGACAAAATATCTTGCAATATATGGCGCTGAAAATATGAAACTTGAAGCAGCAGTTGAAAAAGCATTGGGAATGAAAAATGGAGGTGCAATTGGATCTGCCCAGATGAAGAAAGGGTGAGATCTAACCCTCTGATTGAAGTGAATATTGGCAATGAAGGAGAAGATCGCCCAACATTCGTCAGCCAGATGCTCGATCAAGAGGTTAGTGATAAATTAATCGCTTTATTAAAGGAATGTAAGGATTGTTTTGCTTGGGAATATGAACATATGCCTGGTTTAGATAGACATTTGGTGGAACATAGATTTCTAATCAAGCCAAATTTTAAACCTCATAAGCAACATCCTAGGCGCGTTGCTCCTAATGTACTTCCTGAGATTAAGAAAGAAATAGAGCGATTATTAAAAGCAGACTTTATTAGAACAGCCAGAAATGTCGAGTGGTTGTCCAATATCACGCCAGTACTAAAAAAAATGGTAAATTAAGTGTGTGCATAGACTTTAGGAACCTAAACATAGCCACACCTAAAGATGAATATCCAATGCCTACAGTAGATTTTTTAGTAGACTCGACTGTCGGACACGTAATATATTCATTCATGGATGGGTATTCAGGATACAATCAAATTTATATAGTTGAGAAAGATATACACAAAACTATCTTTAAATGCCCTAGATCTCTAGGATGTTTTGAAAGGGTAGTTATGCCTTTCGGCCTGAAAAATGCAGGAGCGATTTATCAAAGGGCAATGAACTTGATTTTTCATGATATGGTAGACAAGTTTGTTGAGGTGTATATAGATGATATAGTGGTCAAATCTATTAAAGAAGAGGACCATTTTGAATAATTGAGATGTTCATTTGAGTGAATGAAGCAATATAAACTAAAATTGAATCCCTTGAAATATACATTTGGTGTTTATGCAGGAACCTTCCTTGGTTTCTTAGTACAAAAAGGGGGATTGAACTGGATAAAAATAAAACGAAGGCCATTTTAGAGGTCAAACCACCTAGTAATAAAAAAGAATTGCAAAGGTTTCTAGGCCAAGTAAACTTTTTACGACACTTTATTTCTAACTATACAAGGCGAACTAAAGCTTTTTCGCCGCTTTTAAAGCTGAAAAATCAGGACGAATTCATCTAGAAAGAAGAGCATCAAAAGGCTTTTGAAAGCCTAAAGACATATTTATCAAGTCCACCAGTATTGTTGTCACCAATTCAAGGACGGCCAATGAAAGTGTATATATCGGCTGAACAAGAATCAATAGCTGGAATGGTCGCGCAAGAAGACCAATTTGATGAAGAAAGGGTGATTTACTACTTGAGTAGACGATTAACAAAATGTGAATGTAATTACTCTGCCATTGAAAAATTATGTCTTACATTGTATTTCACATGTACGAAATTAAAGACTTATTTACGGCCCGTAACCGTTTATTTGATTTCTAAAGTAAATTTTGTTAAGTATATGTTCTCTCGCCCTATTTTACACCAAAGGGTAGGCCTTTGGACTTTAGCGTTATCAGAATTCGAAATACAATGCATACCCCAAAAGGCAATCAAAAATCAGGCTTTGGCTAACTTTCTGGCCGATCATCCATGCCTTGACATGCCTGAAGAAATTGAATTAGAATCGATTCATTCGAATTAAAACCTTGGGTTTTATATTTCGACTGGTCAAAAATCTCTAAAGGTGCAGGAGTAGGAGTAGCATTGATAAATCCTTTAGGGATTTGTTACAAGTTCGCATTTACTTTGGATAGAATGTGCACCAACAATCAAGCCGAATATGAAACCTTAATCGTGGGCTTAGAATTAATGATAGATATGGAGATAAAGAATGTGATTGTTAGAGGCGATTCTCACTTGGTAAT